TGATTTCATCCTTGAGAACGTCACAAGTAGCACACTAAAACTATCTCAACAACCAAAAGTAGCTGGCAGACCTTTGTAGGCCTTTCACTTTCCTCACTAAATTTAGTTATTGAAGAAGAAATTCCCTGGGATAAAACAAAAACAAAAATAAAACAAAATAAAAAAGCAGGTAAGCTAGATATGTGTATGTGTGGACAGTATGGCTGCCACTAGATTTACAATTAAAAGAACTTGGCATTATTGACTTGTTCCTTGACAAAGTTTTGTGAATAGAATCTTTCCATGTATTTTTTATTTATTGCCATAATTTTGTTACTCTTACTACTTTTCCTCCATCTTCCTTCCTATCATTAAATGTCTTAATCATTAAAACTTATTATGTATAGCAAGTGTATAAGGTACTGGGGAAGCGACAGAACAAGAGAGTCATAGTCTCCAGAGACTTTCCATTTAAAAGATGACTCAAGGACCATTACCATAAAATCTTGATGAGTTAAATTCTGGACACTCTCAGGGATCAATGAAGGAATTGTTTCATCTGTAAAGATGAGGGGGGCTGTAAGGACTTGGGTGTTAATAAAGAAAATAATGTGCTCAACAGACTGGTTTTTTGGGAGCACTCTAAGTGACTCTCAAAGTCTAGACACATAGAGGAGAGTATTTCCTTCCATAATAATTGAGTGTGATTCCAAACTCAAATTGTCTCCATTTCATCCTAGGTTTGCTTTCTCTATCTCCCTTTCCCTTTCCCTTTCCCTCTCCCCCTCCTTCTCCTTTTCCTCCTTCCCCTCACCAACCCCCTCTCTCTCCTTCACTCTCTGTGTGTGAATGCTGCCCAATTCAGTCTTCATCCAGCTCTGCATCCCTGGGTTCATTTTGACTATGTCTTATTGAACATCATTCTGTAAAGTGAGAAAGCTCCCTGGTGTGTAAGTTGTTCACAAATATAGGACCTCCTACTCAGACAGGGTCTGGCTATGTCTTAAAACTGTGTGGGTGCTGTCTTAGAACTCTAAATATTAGTTTAGACAAGGGACTCTACTGGGCTTTGTAAATTATTTGTTCAGTCTTGTCCTTGGATTTCATAGGTAGGAGATGGAAAGGATTGAACATATGATGTAGAAAGTCTCCTTTTGGGGACTAATCCTGTGTGTGGACATAATCCAGTTTTGGAAATTATGGTAATGGATATAAAGTCATAAGTTCTGGAGGAATTAAAAAACTACTTTTTAAAAATATTTAACCAAGAAAAATCTACTGGGCAACAGTTCTTATAGACAGAACAAACAACTCTTAAAGATTTCACTCATTAACACATTGATTTCTTTGGCAGCCATTGTATTAAAGGATGAATGGAGAAAGCTGAGTGTTAAAGATTGTCTGAGCATATTGAATATAAAATCTGGACTTAGGTGTTGGTTCAAATGCAGGACTTAGGTCTTCTTTTATAATATAGTAAAGCTAGTTAATCATTTAGTCTTCTGAACTTTCTTTTTCTATCTACAAAACAAGGGCAAGTATGTTATGTCCTTGGGTGGTTGAGAGAATTAAATTAGATAGCATAGGTTAAATTGCTTATATGAGTCTGCAATGCATGCTAGGCACTGAATAAATCATTATGATGGTTTGGTATAATTATCAGCTGTAGAGATGAAAATAGAATTTTCCCACATGAATCCACTGAGAATAAAGTATTATTAACTATTAGAACCTAAAAATCAGATTTCAAAAAGAATACATTGAAATTACTCGTAAGTTTTTCCCCCATCTTGTTAACACTGGCCCAGAAATGTTGACAACATGAAGAATCTCCTCTTAAAATGTATTTTTCCCCACAAATGTGCATGAACGGGCGCCCTTAGACACATTTCATCTGGACTCCCATGAATTTTATTTCTGGAGAACACTCATGGGCAAACCATGCAAATGATTTGGGGTTTTTAAATAGAGTAAATTGCTAATGCCCTGTAGCTCTTCCCACCCCACAGGACTACTCTTACTCATTCTAGAATTCAACTAGACAACAATTTGGAGTTTTATCTCAATACTGGGTTGATCTACACAAGCCAATTCTATATCGTACACAGAGAAATAATCCTTGTTTATCTTGACCCTTACAGTTGACTTTCTCAACCAGAAAAGCAGAATCTATGTAATTTGGATAGCATTTGTGTACCATAAGTTGATATACTGTTGCTATATTCCTGCCCATCTTCTTGGTGCCAGAAGGTATCCAGAAATGCACCACTATCTTGATGAGAAACAGAAAACAAGGCATTACAGATGGAACTAGATTCACATAAGACACTAACAACAGTCTCAGAGAGGAAACTGTTCATCACATTCATCAGTGAACGACTTCTAGCTGAATGAGGTTGTACATAGCTGCATAAGGGTAGTAGAGGTAAGGGAATCAGAAGTTCAAAGCTAGTTTATAATGAGCAGGTTTGGACAAGCTCAATCTATATAAGACCTGGTCTCAATAAGTACATGCATTTAAATGAAATTCAAGAAGAACAGTGTGTATGCAACACTACTAAAAGCACATTTGATAAGAACCATAAAGACCACAGTGACTATTCAAGAGCACGCTTCATACATTGAGAACATCCTTCAGTGATAATCAGAAACTATTCAGAAGCATCTTCTGAGAAGATGTATTGAGTGTTAAATACTTGACTAAATATATACACATAACCCCCAAATAACCAAGCATACTAGCTCCATTTTACAGAACATGAAACTAAAGTTAACAGAATTTGAGAAACTTAGTTAAAGGTTTAGACCTGTAAAATCCAGGATGAAAATCCAACTATCCTAGGTAGCAAAGATAAGCTCTTATCCAGATGTCACTCCACTTACCCTCTAGCTGCAAGTCTCTTCTACTTCCATCATCAAGAACTGAGACTGTCATTGAGGAGTTTGCTTACAGGCTTACAATAGGATAGGAGATGGGGACAGATACTAGTTGCTTCCTTATTCAATTTGACACAGTCTAGGGTCATCTGGGAAGAAAAGCCTCAATTCAGAATTTTCTAGATCAGGTTGAAATGTGGGCATATCTGCAGGGAATTGTCTTGATTACTAATTTATGCAGAATGGCTCTACCCACTGTTAATGGGTCCTTAGAAAGGAGGGTTCAGTCCCCTGTGGGTGGCATCATCCTTAGGCAGGTGGTCCCAGGCTACATAAGAAAGCAAACTAAGCAGCAGCCAATGAATGTACATGCCTGAGTGATTCAGTAACCCCTGTTCCTCCAAGGTTTCTACTTCAGATTTGCAGAATAGAATATTTGTTTAATTATGTAAAGATGTGTTACATTCACTTATGCTGCATTGTTTGAACTATGTAAAGATGTGTTGCTGTTTCACCTTGTCTGCCCAAGGCACCTGATTGGTCTGATAAAAAGCTTAGCGGTCAAAGCTAGATAGCAGAGGGATAGGCGAGGCTGGTAGCAGAGAGAATAAGTAGGGGAGGAATCTAGGCTCTGGGGACAACAAAGAGAGGGAGATTCCAGGGGCCAGCCAGGCAGGCAGCTGCCAGACAGATGGACAAATAGGAAGCTGAAAAGTAAGACATACAGAATGAAAGAAAGGTAAAAAGCCCCAAGGCAAAACATAGATGAAGAGAGACAGGTCAAGATAAGTTAGTTATAAGGGCTAGTGGGACATACCTAAACTAAGGCCGATCATTCATAACTAAAACAAAAAGAAAAGGAAATTAGAAGGTTTGTTGTTGGTGGTGAGATAACCAACATTTCCAGGATCCAGAACTCTTTTAAAGGTGTAGCATGACCTTGCTATTCAGTTAAGAATTTGGGAATAAAAGTCAGCAGCTGTCAAAGTTCTGGTTTTTAAAAAGCAACGTGTGCTTGGTTGATGAACACTCTCCTGCTGAATTTCATTCTGTGTGAATGTTGCACACATGAAATTCTTACTGTGTGTGTTGACACTGGCCAGGCTAACCCTAACCCACATGTGCACGTGGATGTTTCCCAACCTACTGATGTGGAGTGTGCACACACAGAGGACAAACACATTCTAACAAGTTGATTGCATCTGCCGAGGGAAAATGAGAGGGAGCCTGTGGGAACAGTCACTGTCAGCAGAGCTGCTAAAACAAAAACAAAGAAGCCATGGAATGCTCTCTCTTGGGGAGGCAGAGCAATGCCTGGAGCTCACTGGCCAGTCAAGCTGGCAGAATGGGTGACGTCCAGGTTCAGTGAGAAACTCCATCTCAGAATGTAAGATGGAGAGCAACGGAGGGACGCGCAGGAAGTCGACCTCTAGTCTCCACAAGAAAATATGCATGTGTGTATCCCCTCCCCCACAGCTATGCCTTGCTAACCCGCCACCTCATTCCCAACCCCTGCTTTACTCCGCACTTTGGTGCCCTGGCTGAAATGGACAAGACCCGGGTGATTCCGTATGCCCATCCTGCAGCTGCTGCTTCTTGCTAGAAAATAGAAAGCGGTCAACCCAGAAGATTACAGAATACCTGTGGGTTGTGCCTCTCAACCAAAAAAACCCCAGGCAAGCATTCAGAAGTCTGTCCACATACACGCTAAAAGTACCAAACTGGGACAAAAGAAGGGAACCATGTCTTGTGGCTTTTTAAGTACCAGACCCTTAAAACTCGAGACAACTTTCCAGTCGATACATATTATTACTATATATTTTTATTCTGGACTCAACATACAGACCATTTCATTCAGCCTTCTGTTCAAATGTGACCCCTCAGAGAAATTTCACAACGTACTATCTAAAGTGTGTCATATCTACCCCATTCTTTCTCATTTTCTTCTGCTATATTTCTCTGAATAGCCAGATACTACACGGCCATTTTCAATGTATCGTCTATTCATTGGTTCCATTTTTCATCTCCTTCTGATGTGTATAAGCCAAGACAATAGCTTTATGTGACTGACCACTGTACCCCACCCCCTCACGCAGTCCTCCACACTGGTTAGGGACGCGATAAATATTTATTGAATTAAATACCTGTGAAAACAAGACGTAGCATATGGAGCTGGCAGCAGTACACAGACATGTTATTTTCTGATGTCATGTTCTCACCTAATCCTGCCTGAAGGGAACCTTTTCATGGAGGTGATGTTTAGTCCAAGTTCCCTCCATTTCGTCCGCACTCTGTGTAAACGGCACAAAGGGGATTTGAGTTCCATTTGCAGAGATGTCATAGATAGAAATGATAATGTCCCCTCAACTTAAAAGGGGCAAGCCTGTTTTGAAAGTGTTTTATGAACTGGAAACCTTTCTGTGAGCGATTCCACTGCAGCCCTGTAAAACCTTACGCCCTGCTGGAATTCTGTCCTGTGAAATTTGGCAGCATTCCTTTCCTGGTATAATGAGCTCAGCGCGTGTTTTCATTTTAGTTCAAGCCCAGATACAAATCAGTGTCAGGGCCACAGGCAACCACACAGAATTCCCAGGCACTCCTGGCTGAAGGCAGGTTTAGAAGAATGGATGCCAAATCCCCCCTTTCACAAGGGGCTCTGGGGCATTTAGTGTCATATGCCCTCCTCAGTGCCTGGTCCCAGAGAGCTGCTGGCTCAGTGGGCTTCTGGCTTCTCTCTGGCTCAAGCTCATCTTCGATGGATTTCCTGTGGTAATCCCTCTCTGTGTCCCTCTGAGAAACAAACAGTAATTGCTGACTTTTTTTTTTCTCCCAAGAGGAGAAGAGAGTCCGGGAGCACAAGTGGTTTTAGTTAGAGATTCAATAAGCACTTTGGCGAGATGAGGGGGGCTGTGGAGCAAAGGCCCAGTGGTCCTCACTGCTCTAATGGGTGTATGCTTCACTTGAAGACAATGCTGCATGGTTTGTAGTAAGAAACACTACACCTGCCCTCTGCTAATAAATTAACTAAAATCCAGTTCCATCACTCTTTTTTAATTTGTTTTATTTATCCTGTGGGGTTTGTGTGTGTGTGCGCGCGCGTGCTTGTGTGCGTGTGTGTGTGTGTGTGTGTGTGTGTGTGTGTGTGTGTGTGTGTGTGTAGCTAGACATCAAGCCTAAGGAGCCCATGGGTTCTAAGCAAATGTTCTATCAATATCCTTCACTGACTACTTTTTGGTTTTAGTTGTTTTGTTTGTTTGTTTGTTGAGACAGGACCAGTTTATGTAGCTGAAGTTGGCCTCAATTCCAAAATCCTCCTGTCTCTGCTTCATGAGTGCTGGAATTAGAGCCACACACCACAATACCCAGATTTACTGGCTATCTTTTAAACGCTGTGTTATTCATGAGTGACTGTCGCTGGGGTGGCAGTGACAGACAAAGCATCCAATGTAAGGAAGTTCTCCTTCCTCCATGCCCCTGGGAGTCTATCCTGATTTTTTATACCTCTGTGACTTCCTTCAAGAAGACACCTGGAGACTCTGTAGGGAAGGTCCCCATGACTTTCAGGACAATGTCTTTTTGTTAGGTCTCCATCAAGAATATCGCAGCCTTGCTTCCCCAGACAAGTTTGCCTGTATCAGAGAGATTGTGCAAGTGTGGTGAAGAAAATAAAAACAGTTAAGCAGCTCAAAGCTTCAAAATGTAATGAAGGAGGAAGGTAGATGAAAGTATAAAGGATGAAAGAAATAGGAGGAAGAAAAGGCATTGTTTTCTTCATATCCAAGAGAAACCAGCAAATTTCCATGCATGCACTCACATCATTTACACCCCCAGTGATGCCTTCTAAGACTTGCTTATTACAAAGAATTATATTTCTACTCTTCCTTTAGGGAATTATTCTAAACCTCTATTTGGTCCCACTACATAGGCATAAAATTGAGCATTTTCTGAATCATTCCATAACAAACTAGAATGTATGTCCTTTTATGTGATAGCTTGAATGCAAATGCAATTCATTCCTTTAATTTGTGTATTTGTTTAATTATTATTTAGTATGCATCTATGAGTTTCAGGATTCGGAGGCTTCAGGTTGGCATTGAAAACATAAGCCAGACATGGTGTACATGCTTATAATCTCAGTGCTAGAGGTCTGAAGAAGGAGGACTACAGTAAACATGGGGCCAGCCTGGTCTACATTGCAAGTTTCATAACAGCAGGACTACACAGTGAGGTCCTGTGTCTGACAAAGAGATGAATTAGCCCCTTTGGGGCTAATGCGAGGAATAATACGTCATTAATACAAAGGAGGTATCACACCAGAGAAATCGCATGTAAAAGCTATTTCAGGTCCCAACCTATTCCATTTCAAGCGGGTTCTATTTTGCTTATGCATGAAATTCTTGACATTTTGATGGCTATATTTTAAGCTGTCATAGCTCAGCCAGCATGCAGGAAATGACCTTGTTTTTAAAAATGATGTTTCATCAGGATTTTTGATCTAGTGTGACATCAGCGAACCTGTTGCAAGAATCTGTTTAAAGTCCAAGGACGGGAGCTATCATCCCCACTACACCTACAGAAGAACTGGGTGTCACCTCAGAGCAAACCTTTATGTGCAACCAACAGGAAGCAGGGCCCACTGGCTTGTTTGAATGGGCTGTCCACGATTTCAAGGAAGAGGATGAGAAAGCAGAGAGGAGTCGATGACAGAACTCAGCAAGGGCAGTGAGGGAGGACCGCAGGGAGGACTCAGCAAGGGCAGTGAGGGAGGACCGCGGGGGGAGGAGAAATGGCCCTCGATGCTGGCTGCTGATGTCTCAGCCAAAGGAGGGTGAGGCTTCTACAAAGCTAGGAGAGGTCAATAAATCACCACTCTTATCTTGCAAACAGAGCCTGCGACTTCAAAAATTAGCTCATTTATTCTGCACAATTAAATTTATTGAAGTGTGACAGGAAAAGTTTAGCAGGCAGTGGAGCAGAAAGCCAGCAACAGCCGAGCCGAGCATCTGAGTGAATGACACAATTAGTTGATTTTCATTTTATTTATCAATATAATTATTGAATTGTATTTATCCTTTTTTCACAGATTTCTACAACTATTATTGCAGGGGTCTCTAGGGAAAGAATTAGTTTAAATTTTCCATCTAAGTTAATGTGATTATGGAGGGACTAATAAAAGGAAAGTTCTTTAAAGTGCCACACATTCTTGTATTCAATGTCACTCACATCATGCGGCTTAGAAATCCAGTCTCTTTTCTTATGAATGTGACAAATTGAATTTACATTTGTGAAGGTTTCAGATTCCCCAGGTAGGGACTGAACTGTTGTGGGCGGCCAGTGGCTGGAGAACCCTTACCTAAAACAAATCCTTATCTTCCCCACCCCCACCCCTTTTTTCATCTCTTCTATTTCTCACCAAGGTCTGTTGTTTCAGCATCTAACAAGTATCTAAAGTCCATGTAGTATTTTTATAATCACATAATCATTATTTCCCACCCCCAGAGGCTGGCAAGGCTGGAGTGGAGTATAGGAGAAGATGGGATGTTCACACTCACCCAATTGCCAGGTAACAGAGTCTTGTTGGCCTTTGGCCTTGATTTCTATTCCAGGGTATCCTTCATATCCGGATTCATCCTTCTAGAAGGTTATTTCTTAATCTAAGCAGGGTACATGCTGCGAAAAATACAGATGGTCCCCAACCTATAAAGGAGTAACATTATTCCAGCCCACTCAGAGTGGAGGTCCGTAGTCAGACATGCATTCTATACACCTAACCTATTGTGCTTTATAGTTAGTTCAGCCACATAGCTGCCCCTTCATAACTGACCAGTACACAAGGATATGCAGCTCACTGAAGCTTCTTAGCATCACCCAAGAACATCCTGTACGGAGCTCAGGAAAATATAAAATTCCAAAGTCAAAGCATGCTTTTCTGTGCAATGCCTGTCATCACTTTTCACCATAAATAAGGTAGCAAAATTCTAGGTTGGGCATACCAAATTGTGAGCCATCTTTGTGTGGGAAAATTAAAAAAGAAATCAAACCCTGAAGTCTCAGGGCAAGATTTCAGAACAAGTTCTCGTTAGATGCCAAATCAACAGATCACGGATGGATTAGTGCGGGTCTGCTCTTTGTGACTGCTCCCTTCCTATTCACGTGTCACCTTAAGCAAAATTGCACCGAGTCTTTATGCTGCAGTTGTTGGGCTGCGTGCTTTTACATAGATTTCAAGTTCCCTGTTCTATTGCCTCCTGTGCCTCCTGACAGTGTAGCAATGAACCGCACGTTAGATACAGAAAACATGACTCAAGGGGGGACGCTGAGTTCTCTCTATCAAACATGCCCAAACCTACCGCATAAAAACTTCCATCGTCCAGCACTCTCAAGGGAGAATTTCTTGTCAGTGTCAGACCACATTCTTTCCAAGCTCCCAACCAAGGCAGGGGCAGTTTAGAGTGTCTGGGAGTTATTGGAGAAAGGCATGACTTGCCTCTGAGATGACTTAACTTCATCATAAAAACACGGGAATTGTCCTGCCCAGGATGAAATGACAGACTTTAGAGATCCCCCCCAAGGAGGGTCTTACCCTCCCTGGGGAATGATGTGGGGATTGGGTGGGGGGCTGGGAGGCTGGTGGAGGGACAAGGGAGGAGGGGAAGGAGAGGGAGCTGGGACTGACATGTGAAACTTTCACATTTCTAATTTAAATGAAAACATATATTGAGAAAAAAATGAACAATGGAGAGAACCAAATATTTCATGTTCAGTTAAAGGAGGAAAATCAAATGTGGAGTTCGCAATTCATTCTCTAGTGTTCCAGTTGTAACACCACCCACCAGGACACATCAGTGCGCATGTGCACGCAAATTTCAAATGCAGCTTCCAGCTGTACAGGAATAAGTTAAATGAATTCACAGAGCTCTGAATGGGGCATTTCTCTGAAATTTTGGCTTCCGCACCTGACACTGAAACTTGTAGTCATTTTTGGTTAAGTTGCCACTAAAACTCTCTTTATAATTATCAACACCAAATGAACACAGGAAAAATCTTAATGAAATTTTACCACTTTATTTTTGAGCCAGAATTCCCAGAAATCTATCATAGATCTTCAGGCATGTGCAATGTATGAACAAGATTTTGTATTTCACCAGGGCAACTTCTTTCATGATATATCCTAAGCCACAGAATGAAAATTACTCCTGTGGGATAGTTTAGAACCATATACATGTTGGGATGC